GTGTCATGAATTTGATAACTTCTGCATAGGTATGAGAAAAGCTACATAGTGGTTGGCATAAGATTGATTGATTGTAGTTGTTTTACGTCCCATTCGAGATTTTTCACTCATATTGAGACGTCACCATATACCGGTAAAGGGCTTCAAATCTAGACCTCTACTCGGTACTCAGGGCCATTGAGCGGTGAGGGTTCTTCATCGTGCTAACGCTTACCGTGACACGGGGCCTCGGTTTTTAATGTCTCATCCGAAAGACTCGCAACTTCCACTTCAAAGTGCCGAGCGCTTGGCGAAGGAACAGTTGCTACCTATTTTTTTTATCGACTTAGGTCAGTCGCGGCCGTGATTCGAACACACGACCTTCCGATCACTGAGCGAGCGCTCTACCAACTGAGCTACCGTGACGGACTAACAACGGTTGGCTTTATATATTTCACAGATAGGATGTATCTGATTTTTCTGTACAGAAGATACATCATCCTTTACGATATCGGCCTACCCCTTTTCATTTCAAAAAAAAAAAAAAAAAAAACAAACCAAAAAAACAAAAACAAAAAAAAACAAAACAAAAAACAACAACAACAACAACAACAACAACAAAAAAAAAAACCAAAAAAAAAAAAACAAAAACCCACAATCAAAACCTTATCCGTAACAAGTGTGGACTCTCTGAGCATAAAATATATAACAAATTTCAAATATTTTATCAGTGTATTTGTATCGAGTTTTAAAGGAAAATGTGGAATAAACTTTCCTAACACCCTTTTGATATTTAATATTAAAGCTTTATCTCTCATATTAACAGACGAAGTGGGAAACTGCTTTAAGTGAAAGCCAAAAGAAAGGACCTCAATAAGGAGTTAAAAATTTTCAAGGAAAATTTTGAGAATACTTTTAAAAATGCCGAAGAAAAGTAACAGCACCACCAAGGTTCATGATAAGGTCACAAAAGGAGGATAAAAGAATCTATCATTTGTAACTCTTTCCAACATCCTCCTTAGATGATCAACAAATTCAAACCTACGTTTTTTCATATTGATCTGAGGTCACAATATGGCCCATTATATGACATAATATGAAGACTTTCTAAAGAAAAATAAACATAGATATCTGATCAATAAATAAATATCTTAATATATTGTAGATTGAAATTGTTGATGTCATGCCAATCAGGGTTTTGGATCTCGATAAAGGCTTTGATGTCAACTTTTTGTATCAGTGAAATACACTGTTTATTCAGACGAGGCCAGTTGGCTGATGGTACTGACATAGAATTTTATTCACCTACTAACATATATTTGTATAACAAAATTTAATGTCCTTCCTGGCAATATGAAACAATACATATCAATACATATATGGATAACCCTTTCCTATCTGAAGAATCGATTTAAATTTAACGCATTTCTTCTTAGTTATCCTTTTTGCCAATGATGTTACAACAACTAATATTCATGAATGAAAATATTCAAAGTTCTTAATACTAAGTCATTAAAACACCCTAGGGAAAATGTTTTTGCTACTAAATATTCATTTTAGAGCGAAGGTAAATTTAAACTGCAAATTGAAACCAAATGATACACAGGAATACGATTGGTAATTTATATTTAGTAATTAAATCGAGGTTAATTACATTTTAATTGTCAATTTATTCAGCAAATGATAAATTGTTTAACCTTTTGACTTAGCTTTACTTTCAATGGTCAAAACTATCGAATTGTGATTTTTTTTAGAATAACAAATAAAATATCTTAAGTGTGATAAACAAACATAGGCATAACTTCAATATGATAAAACTTAAACATGACAAGGTCAAGGATTACCTGCTTGTCAAAAAGAGGTCGGAATATATTGGCATCATTAACATTAATCTCTCGTTGAATATTCAGATTTATTTGTTACATACTCAGGTTTTGTAAGGTTGTGTCATGATATGGCAATAGTACTTAACAACTATGGATACGCAAATATGACTAAGTAGAGAAACAATATTTCGTGCCATTTCAATTTAAATCATATTTGGCTTAACTCGTACATGTAGGCCTATATTTTGATTGATTGTTTCAATTACAATTATGTTATATAGTTATGTAGCATTCTGAGAGCTTTTTTGTAGGAGATATGGCAACACCGATAGCTACAATTATGTTTTTAGTCCCCTACCGGTGAAACCGGAGGAGACTATAGGTTTCCTCAGAGTCTGTCCGCCCGTCTGTTTAGCTGTCCCTCTGTCTATCTGTCAGTCTGTCCCAACTGGTTTTCCGCACTTTTTTTTAAACGCTTGCAGATATTGAGCTGATTTTTGGTACATGAGTTTATCTTAATGAGTAACAGATCAAGTTTGCATTTCGTTCCACTTCAAAGATTTTTTATGGAATTATGACCTTTTGCATTTTTCAGGGTTTTCCGCAATTTTTTCTAAACGCTTGCAGATATTGAGCTGATTTTTAGTATGGGGGACTAGTTTTGCTAATGCAATTTTCTCAAAATGCTTGTTTTAGGATACAAATACTTGTGCTCAGCGTTTTATTGAAATCAAACTAAAACAGTAAGGAATGTAGCATTTTGATATTTTACACGTTATTCCATATTTATAAACCATATTAATTTAGCTCATCGAAATTTTTTAACGTATGGCATGATGAAGTAAACCTATATTCCGAGTTTTGTTAAAATCAGAACAATCCTTTATTTAGGGATGGTGTTGTGAAAGAATTTCACAAAAAACTTTGACTACATCTTTCATCCAAAGCAATACCTGATAAACAGAATTTTGTACTTGGGTGAAGTTTACTTAAGTTCTAAGATTTATTTAAAACAAACGAAAACTGTTAAAGGAATAGGATTTGAAAGAATTTAAAAGATATTTCTATTTTACTAGTTATGGCAACACTATTTGTCGAAATTAAAAAACTGATACCCAAAATTCAGAATGTTGTAAAATTAGAAGAATGTATATATAATTCCTTATTTGACCAGAATTACAAAAGCATTAGGGAAATAAACATTAACGATGCAATATGATGGATTGTTTCTTTTTAAATAGATTTAATAATATAATATATTTGATAATATTTTTATCCACAAATAACACACCATTCTTTGCTTTACTTAACTTTAGGCACCACAATAATGTATATTTTTAAAATTAAATAAATTAAAGCTAATCATTTCTATGAAACTGTTCACACGATTCGTATATGTAATTTTCGGAATTTCATTCCATCATTTATGTTTTTTTTTTCAAGCAGAAGTAACGAATATGATTGTATCATTTATCAATTATACCCAATAGGCGAAACAATAGTTTATTCTAATTAAAAATGGAACTCGTAAATTTTCTTATCTTGCAAGTGGTCATTTGCACAATTATTTTGTTAAAAAAACATTCTGATTGTACAAACAAGTACTCTGAAGTAGATGTTAAAAAGATGCTTCTGATTGACATTATCTATGTAGTTTTTGGAGATCGGATTTACTAACAATCTGTCGGAATTCCCATACTACCAATTTGCCCCGTTATTAGCAGACCTATTTTTGCATTCATATGAGGCAGAATTTATTCAAAAACTTATACATTAGAAGAAGACACTTGCTGCGGCCTTCAACTCGACATTTACTAGTAGATACCGGTATATTGATGACGTATTATCAATTAACAATAGTTACTTCCATTCATATGTCGACTCCATATATCCCAGTGAACTTGTTATAAAAAGATACCACAGGGTCTGACACACCTGATTCATATCTGGATATTTTACCAGAAAAAGACGTTTATGGTAACCTAACAACAAAACTTTATGATAAACGTGATGACTTTAACTTTTCTATCGTCAACTTCCCTTACTTATAAAGCAATATACCCTTATCGCCTGCATATGGGGTTTATATCTCCCAGTTGATTCGATACTCAAGAGCATGCTCCACTTACGAACAAATTCTAAAACAAGGCAAGCTATTGACAAACAAGTTGAAGAAACAAGGATATCAACAATTTCGTTTAAAGTCATCATTTCGTAAGTTTTATGGTCGATACAATGACCTTGTCAGTAAAAACAATATATCATTAAGTCTAATGCTGACTGACGTTTTTCATACTAATTGTTAGGCTATTATTTAAACACCAATTTTTCCGTTTGCCCGATCATGACAAGGAGCACACGGCGGGTGTGACCGGTCGACAGAGGACGCTTACTCCTCCATGGCATTTGATCCCGCCTCTGATGTTTTTTCAGAGGTCCGTGTTTGCTCTGCTTCCGATTTGTTTTGTTTCAATGGACTTTTGAGTTTGATTGCTGTTCGTTATCTCCATATTTCATCTTATAAGCTGTAACTTCGGTGTAGAGAGGATATTATAAACACGAATATTTACAATAAAGCATGTGTGAGAGAAAAAACATTGAAAAAGACAATAAATGCGATTGATTGCTTCTATCTATCTATCTATCTCATTATATCTCTCTCTCTCTCTCTTTATATATATAGTCTGTATAGACTTGCACAGACAATGTTTCTTTTTAAAACATTTTTAGAAAGCCCAGAATTGTATTTTAGAAATTCTTTTAAAAACAGACGTTTTTTCAACAATAGAGAGGAGGAAAAAAATCTTAGACCCAAGAGTACGTTTCAAAATCAGGATTTAGTCCATTACAGCAATATAAATCGTCTTCAAAATAATGACTCAGATCATCTTCAAACTAATAACTGCCATTTACAGTTTACAGATTCAACAACGAATTGCCCATATTCAAACGCTGATGAGATCGCGATCTCGCTTCCGTTGCAGGAAGGGGATTATTCACTAATTGACGATGCAAACTTGAGAGAAATAATTTTATCAAAAAAGGGTGGGAACTGTTAAAACTCAAACGAAATGCAAGAAAATCTTCCATATTCATTCGTTCGTTGTTTCAACAGAGAGAATACAGAAGTCATGACAAACCAAGCTGGGACTCTACAGAGAAACAATGATCCAATCGTAGGAGAGGTGAAGGGAGATGTATATGCCGCTGTGTGTAGGAAAGACAAAACTGGAAAACAACCAAATCACTAATCGTAAGGGAAACATCTACACAAATGTTCAAATAGCTTCTAATGGAGAGGAAAAGATGTAGAAGGAGAGAATTATTTTTAAACGAAGTTAACGTTGAGTAAAAGAGCTGAGCATTTTAGCTACTGAGTTAATGTCATCTTTTATTATGCAGTACTTACTGCTGTGAAATGGATTTGTGAACAAACGTTCATGTTTACTTAAAAAATTTAAAGACTTACTATTTTACCGAAAATGAAATGGGGGGATGCATTTACTCTGAGAAGTTTATATGTAAAAAATAGCATTATTTCTTTTAAAACAAGGACTTTAAGACCTTTAATCATATAAATAAAACTCAATACATTAAATGAATTAGTAAAACACTGCATGGATGAGAAAATTGAAAGACTGAAGGGTCAAGCTGTAGCCCTCCAACATATGCCATACTCAGATGTCCTCCTTGCTCATGTTTTCAAATGTAAGACAATTACATTCAATAAAGAAAATTTAGCTCAAACACCATGTAAAATATTCGAAAGTCCATTCAGTATGAATGTTTATGTTATCATAATACAAAAAAATATTTTGGTTAAAACTTTTTTTATCTTAAATTTTGATGATTGCAATGAAACCAATCCAAATTATTTCCAGTAAGATATTTTTATCAGTAAAAGTAAAATAAGCCAAGTAAGTGTTGTGACTCAGTTCTCAAAGAATACAGACTTAGTTATCAATTTACACAATTTTTAAATTATATTAAGTTATATTTTAACGGATAATTCACATGCAACTAACAAAGACGAAAGAAATTACATTTTAGGTATCAATGCAACAAAAGAGAAAATTGCTGTTTTTCGGGGGGGGGGGGTGTATTATGCTTGTTATGAAGATATATAAATTAAAAAAAAATTGCACAAGTCATTTGTCGATTGTTTTATCATCTTATAAAATTCAAATAGTTCAACCAGTTAAAGAAAAGGTTTTTTAAGTTTATATACATGTAGTACCTCCGTTTTAAAATACTTTGAGCTGGCACTCTTTCGTGTTAGATTGTTTAAGAAATTGATAATGTTATCGATAGTATTAATTTTATCGCATCAGTCCACGAACTTTTTGATAACCCATCGTAGTTATTATAGTTTTAGCTCACCTGAGCTGAAAGCTAAAGTGAGCTTTTCTGATCACATTTTGTCCGTCGTCCGTCTGTCTGTAAACTTTTAACATTTTCGACTTCTTCTCCAGAACCACTGGGCCAATTTCAACCGAACTTGCCACAAAGTATCCCTGGGTAAAAGGGATACAAATGAAGGGCCATGCCTTCTTCCAAGGGGAGATAATTACAAATTAGTGAAAAATTAATGGAATCTTTGAAAATCTTCTTCTGAAGAACCACTAAGCCATGATTGGTCATATTTATATGGAAGCATCCTCAGGTAGTGTAAATTCAAGTTTGTTCAAATTATGACCCCTGGGGATAGGGTGGGTCCAAAATAGAAGATACAACTTAAAGGAAAAAATCTTTTTAAAAATTTCTAAAGCCATGATATGCCAAAGAAATATTTCAGCATTCTCAGTTAGTGTAAGTTCAAGTTTGTTCAAATCATGCCCCCCCCCACTCCCCTTAAGGGATAGGTTGATACCGATCATAAAATACTGAACTCTTAGCCAATGTGTTCAGGTGAGCGATGTGGCCATGGGCATCTTGTTTGTAATATTTTGTACATCTTCACCTATCCCCCTCCCCCCAAAGTCCTCCAATTACAACATACTGTGCCATTATAGTATTATAGTTGTATACATTTTGTATAGCAACAAAAATCCGAATTCAAGTATGAGAAATAAATAAAAGTACACTGTACCTGTTATTTAGGGTCAATTCTAGGAAGGAGACGATATGACAGAATGGGTCGCTGAATTAAAGACATTCCTTTGCGAATACAACCCAAAGGATATCTTTAATGCAGACGAGTCCGGGTTATTTTTCCGCAGCAAGGACAGGCTAACGGTACTTGTGTGCGCCAGCATGAGATGCCGCTTTTTAGGCAAAGCAAAAAATCCACGTTGTTTTAAAAACGTGAAAACTCTGCCCACTTAATATGACGCCAACAAGAAAGCCTGGATAACATCAGAGCTGTTCTCCAACTGGCCGCGGTCATTAGGCAGAAAATCCAACCAACAAAAAAGAAAAGTAGCCATGATCGTGGACAATTGCCCTGCCCATCCTAGAGTCACAGGACTGAAGGCCATTAAGCTGATCTTTTCCCCTCCAAACACCACCAGTAAGACACAGCCTATGGACCAGGGCGTGATCCAAAACTTAAAAGAGTTGCATGATATATATATATATATATATATATATATATATATATATATATATATATATATATATATATATATATATATATATATATATATATTTATATATATGTATATATAACAAATCTTTTTGCTCATAATTTATGTATATATATATATGTATAAAAACTATCTGGTTGGTTTATTCCCTCTTTTTCCCTTTTTCCTATCAATTATGCAACTCTTTCTCTCTTGTATGTATGTATATTGCATTACATTTATATGAAAATACAATGTACTTTTTTTGTCCCTTGAGGGCCTCTAATTGGTAAATAAATAAATAAACATATAGTATTATCTTCACAAGCCAATCCGAACTCTACAACAGAGTCGTGTTCGGGTCCGAAAACCTAAATTGGTTTTCGGAAGACGCAAAGGATTTTTTTTTTTCAAAAAACGAAAACAAAAACAAAAACAATCAAACAAAACAATGTAGAAACAATCTCCCTCTCTTTCTCTCTCTCCCCACCCCCATGTTCATGCATGCTCCATTGAGCAACATTGGTCACGTGAGCTAGGACTGAAAAAGAATTCGTCACACTGAAATTGAGAGTCTATCTGTCAATAGCAGTGATTTGCGATTGCATTTGCCAAAAGCTATCTTCACGAAATAAAAGCATTCCTTCAACGACTAGAATACAGCAGAGAATACTTTGAATTAAGGTTAGTTTATTAATGTTGTTTTCATTAATTTTTCGAGTTTATGCAGCTTTCTGTTGAAAACGTAGCAAGGTGAGTACTCGATCATTCCCGCCATTTCTGGTCCTTGTCCGAGAAGACATCCTCATATATTTCATTCTGTTTACAAATATGCATTGACATATTGTTATACATAATTATTTAAACAATTTATAGTTATGTGTAAAACAGCTTGAATATGAAAGTACATGCAGTTAATTAACGCATGAAATAGGAAAAAGACAAGCAGTAATGTCTACGCATGCTCATGGGGATAAATGCCGGGGATATTAAAAGTCAATAAACTTAGTTTAAAAAAAATGTCCTATGCATGTAGTTGAAAAGTTCAGTTTCTCAATGTCAATAATAAAAAATCAAAGATGGCTTAGTGCTTGAAGCTGGATTTCGATAGAGTTTAACCAAATTGTAGTTCCAACTCTCCTGCAGTGGAAAGTGCTCCCTAAGATGAGATTGTATAAGCCAAAACCACAGGCACTTGTTTCTGTAATAAATTTTTTAACCCATAGTATAATAAAACACAAGGTATCCAACTCTGAATTACACGGAGTACCCCCCTCCCTCAGAATCGCACTCATTTACAATTTCAGAGGACATGCACTGGCAAACTGTTTATACCTATGTCTTCTACGATAATTTATTTACACAACCATATATGGCATGGTTGTCTTTATTTTCTTTTATCTCTGTAAAAACGTCAAAACTCTGCCCGGCGAGTGGAAAATTCGAATTCAACCATGAAATGGTATGTGCTAATCCCGGGCAAAGATTTTGATTGGCTAAATATCTGTTTCTAAAATTACATCAGAAAAATCAGGGACCTATATAAGTTAGTATATAGGTCCCTGCAAAAATATTGTAGTGTTTTTATGGAAAATGAGAGGTAAAGAAAATTTATTTATTCACTGCAATATTTAAACACTGGGATTGAATTTTCAAACCCACTCATTTTTTAGCTCACCTGAGCCAAAGGCTCAAGTGAGCTTTTCTGATCAATATTTGTCCATTGTCTGTCGTTGTTGTTGTTGTAAACTTTTCACATTTTCATCTTCTTCTCAAGAACCACTGGGCCAATTTCAACCAAACTTGCCACAAAGTATTCTTGGGTAAAGAAGATTCAAGTTTGTTCAAATGAAGGGCCACGTCTTCTTCCAAGGAGAGATAATTAAGAATTCGTGAAAAATTAATGGCATCATTAAAAAATCTTCTTCTCAAGAACCACTGTGCTTGAAAATATGAAACTTATGTGGAAGCATCCTCAGGTAGTGTAGATTCAAGTTTGTTCAAATCATGACCCCTGGGGGTCAGGTGGGGCCACAATGGGCGATCCAAGTTTTACATAGGAATATATAGGAAAAATCTTTAAAAATCTTCTTCTCAAGAACAGCAAAGCCATGATTGGTCATATTTACATGGAAGCATCCTCAGGTAGTGTAGATTCAAGTTTGTTCAAATCATGACCACCCGGGGGTCGGGTGGGGCCACAATGGGCGATCAAAGTTTTACATAGGAATATAAAGGAAAAATCTTTAAAAAATCTTCTTCTCAAGAACAGCAAAGCCATGATTGGTCATATTTATATGGTAGCATCCTCAGATAATGTAGATTCAAGTTTGTTCAAATCATGACCCCCGGGGGTCTGGTGGGGCCACAATGGGCGATCAAAGTTTTACATAGGAATATACAGGAAAAATCTTTAAAAATCTTCTTCTCAAGAACAGCAAAGCCATGATTGGTCATATTTACATGGAAGCATCCTCAGATAGTGTAGATTCAAGTTTTTCAAATCATGACCCCCGGGGGTCGGGTGGGGCCACAATGGGCGATCAAAGTTTTACATAGGAATATATAGGAAAAATCTTTAATAATCTTCTTCTCAAGAACAGCAAAGCCATGATTGGTCATATTTACATGGAAGCATCCTCAGGTAGTGTAGATTCAAGTTTGTTCAAATCATGACCCCCGGGGGTCGGGTGGGGCCACAATGGGCGATCATTTGTCAAAATTTTAAAAATTCAAATTTGTCA